CTGCTGAACTAAAGTTCATGCTGTTTTCTAAAATACACCACCCTGACAAAGACCAGACAACATTAAGAGTATAATCTCACCACTGTGTAGGCAGTTTTCAAAAATAAAAGATACTGTGCGCATGATTTCAGGTCACCTTGACAAGTTAACTTTTCAACGTCTGCATGAGATGTACACAAAGTGATGCACACTACTAATGAACAAGTCAGTCAATCATACCCGAGATTTGGAGTAGGTGCTGTCGCCCCACAGCACCACCCCTGTGGATCCCAAAGCAACACTCTCTCCGATGGTGTAGACCAGGTGCTCCTGCAGGAGTACGGTAATAAAGGGGGTAAGCAGAGGATATAGAAATGATCCCAAAACAGCACAGAGTTTAAATGACAGCTACTTGCCTGAGAGAGGAACTCTAACGTGTAGGTGTAGACGATGCGAGCGTAGGTGAACACATTTGGTCTTTCCTGCTCCCCCAGTTTCAGTGTTTCTTCCAAGAATTGCCTTGCTGCATCCTCAAACTGCATCCAGGCTTCAGCTTCTACCTTTGCAGAGTAAAACCTTACCTATATTAACTGAAAACCAAGTTTAAAGCTTTACTGTGGGAAATTTAATTATGACCGATTTCTTATTTTTATATGTTACAGCACAATCACAGTGGTAGTTCTAATTAGCACAATAGCCAAAAACACTTATCCTCATATCTGGTGAGTCATGTTAACATGCAGTCTCTGAGAGAAAGAGAGAGACAGGGAGAGATTTACACTGAACCCCCAAATTGCCCCCAATGTTTAGAGCCATCGGTGTGAGATAGCTGCCTCGGTTCTGTACCGGAAACAATTTTCTTGTGTGCAACATACTTGACAAAATAAAGGTGATTATTATTATTAAACTTAAATGTAAAATCCCAGGTTTTCACTTACTCCCTAAAAAAGTGACACTTACCAGGAGAAAACATGTCACAGCCAAAGGGACAACCAGCACATTTCATCTGTAACTACTAATCTGAAACAAACACCAGAGATGTCTTTATTTTTCTTGTCTTTTTGTCTACCATATATTATTGCTATATTTTCTATATTCTTGTTTTTTTATATGCGAGAGCGAGAGAGAGAGAACAGCAGACAGAACGTACCTTCGCAGGAGACACTGAGAAAGCAGTCTGTGCATTAGCCTTGGTATACTTCACAAAATGTAACATCTTGGTAACAATGTGAGGAAACTGGACTGACAAAAAAAAGTGTAAGAATAACAATGACAGTGACTGAGATTTTTTTTTAATGTCAAGTACAACTAACCATTATTATTAGAAAACATTGTGATGTATAGTTAGTGTCTTGTCAGTAAAAGTACCAATTCAGGGAAATATCAAAATGAAACAGCAAATGCTGTAATAAATCAAGACAAACATATGAATTGATATTGGATAAAGTATACCATTATGTTTTAGAAAATCAGCAATCAGAAATGATCAAGAACATTAAGGCAATAATGGCACTTTATAGGATATTGCGGAGTCAGGGAGTGTCCGAGTATAACTGTACTGTTTTCCATGGGGACAACATGTGGAAAGACGTTTTCCTTTGACTGGAGAAAGTTTTCCCCCATAAGCGTTAGCTGGAATTATGATTAACTTTTGGTATCTCCTTCCAGTTATGGTGAGAAATTACACAAGAGGCTTAATAAAGAAGTTTATTTAATTTGACCAAATGGCAAATTTGAGGAAACAGCACAGAGGCCTTCACAGAAGCATCAGTGAAACGGTATAACAGTGTCATAAAAGTTGCTCTTTATAGTGTTTGTGCTTTTGAAGTCAAACAGCAGCTGAAATGAGGCACTGTTATTATTTTTTGCATAAAATGGATGAGTGGTGTTATAAGAAAAAACTAGTAGTCATGTTTCAGACATAAAAATAAGTAAATATATAAAACACCTACAAATACATTCAAATAAACAGTAATACTGTAAATGCCTCCGTAAGAACAGATGTCAGAGAGAGGCCTTGTTGAAAAAAGATCAGGCACTTGTGCTATTACCAGATTTAAGTGCATCAATTCAACTATTGCCACACAGCAACAGACATACATTGATTCATTCACCACATTTCTCGCAGAAACATCCTCCCTATGAGAAACACAGAATTTGACACCTTGGGAAACAGTGACTGACAGGAAACTGACAGCAAAATGTAAACAAGGTCATTTCCAGCAATCCCTCCTTTGTTTAAAAAAAAAAAAAAAAAGATTAAAAGTTATAAACAAATATAACAGCACAGCAACTTCTACAGTGTTTCTTATAAAAATTCACTTTGTTTCATCCATTTTTGAAGCAATTAAAAGTAAAAAAAAAAAAAAAAAAAAAATCTCAGAATGACATCTTGTATGCTCCTAGATTTTCTACAGAAAATGCAGCTACTGTATCTATGGTGCGCTAACCGAGGAGCACAGAGATGATCAGTAAGATCACACATTGCACTGCTGATGCTATGCTTTGAGTTGCCATCGCTCTTGGGTACAGAGGGTCTGTCTCAGTGCAGCCCTCTCCCTTATAGCCGCTGTAGCATTGGCACCGAAACTCTTTTTGAAAACCCATCTTGTCTGCTTCGCCAAGCTTACCGGTGACCACTGGCTTGTCCTTCTCACTTATGATTTTGTAGGTGACGGGGTTCAGATGCAAGTAAACATCTCTGTCTGGATTTCTGCGTTGACAGCGGCCTTGAGAACCACACAAGGTGTTGCTGCACAGCTCTGCTGCGGTGGAGACATTGAGGAGGTAATAACTCAGCGAACCTCGCAGATATTCATTAAGATCAGAGCAACTTTTCTGGAGAAGAAGAAGAAGAAAAAAAAACACTAATCTAGGTCAAGATGCAGAGTGAATTTAATTCAAACTGTCCCTATTTTTAGTCAGGCTTTCATAGGTGTGAGATTCAGGGGACTGTGAAGCAGGTAAAGGAAACCACAAGTAAGAACCTTTTCCGTTCATTCTTAATTTTTTCTATGTGAGCCATGTGCAACTTATAAATGGTCGTCTAACTCCTGTCGATTCAGGACAAACTACACAAAAAGGCCTGATGTGGATCACAAGTCTTGACTGATACCAACACAGACTTCATTCATAAAATAACTCATTTATGTTATGAGGCACCTTGACATTTAGTGCAGGATGTGTTGGTTAACCCAAAATACAGACACACTTGGGAAGAATACAGTGCATTTTCACAGACATTTCATCTATTAAATTCTGTATGTTTCTTATATATTACCTATCTTTAATTGTTTACATAATATGAGGATCATTATCTTGTTGGGGATGATACCAATCAATCACTGTTCCAAAATGTGGGCTATTCTTGATCAAACTGGAATAAAGAGATACATTTCCAATGAATGCCTGTAAATCTTGCACATTTTTGTGTTTTGTCCTTTCCTGTGGATGATATTCTAATAAAGATTTTATTCTGATTATCTTCAGAATAATATGTATTTTTCATACAGTAGCCCAGAAGCAGAAATACTGAAATATAGACCATGCTAATTCAGAAAGCAAATCAACACGGTTTCTTCAGTCCAAGTGTGTTGCACAACAAAACACAATCATGCAAAAAAACAAAAAAAACAACTGGTTCTTCACAACTGGGAATAAACAGTTTGTGGCTGAAGATGTTAGATTAACTGCCTAGAATGAGTAACATCCTATCAGCCTGAATGTAACTAATAAAAAAAGAAATAAATATCAAATAAATATCCCCTGTGTATTTGATGTTCCTGTAACTGAAGTCACTATCACCCGAGCAATAGTTAGTTAACAAATGACTTGACTGCACACATGACCAGCTGAGACCATTTATGGCAAAACATGTCAACTGTGTCTGAGTGACTGATTTGTTTGTTTCATAATTAATGGGCGGATGCTTACTTTGCTGCTTGCATAAGCTGCGTCTCCCCACAAGATGATTCCTGCAGCTCCCAAAGCCACACTCTCCCCGATAGTGTAGACGAGGTCAGTCTGTAAAAGATGATACAGCATTTTAACTCTATCACATTTAATCTTTTGCATATCTAAAAAGTACAGGGTCAAACAAAGGGAAAAATATATTGTTCAGTATCAGTGAAACAGGGTCAAAATGTTACTGGGACATAAGCTACTCTACGTGAAGTACAGCACCAGCTCTTATCTGTTCATTCTCCCATAAGGAAATGGGCTATAGGGTGTTAGTGAGATTTTCAACCTGACCAACACCCATCCTGCCTAGGCTACACAAATGAGAGGTATTGGGGTGTCTGTCTGCCACCAGAACAGGAAAGGACTGTGGCTACAGATAAGCAGAGAGCAAGCTCTGTGCAGTATACACTGATCAGAGAGAAGGAGAGAGGTGCTGAGTGGCCGTGCTGAATGTTAGAGCCACAGTGTGACCAAGAGTTAACCTTGGAACAAAAATGTCCATGTCCTCTCCTTCGCAAAGTTTTAGTACTATACATGATAGACAGCACACAAGAACACAGTCATTTTAAAGTTGACCTGAATAGTAAAAGGCAAAAGCCCTGGAAAGGAAGAGGATCCAAATTCAGCACTGGCATAGTTTCAAGTTAGTGTGTCACCTCTGTCAGCTGTTCAAGAGATTTGGCATAGGTGGGTTGGGTGTACACAAAGACCGGACGTGCCAAGCCATCGCCCGATGATGCCAAACGCATTCCCTCCTTTACTCGGTTCCGGACAAACTGGCGTCCAGAGGCTGACGAGCGCAACACAGTGCCCATGTAGATGGAGGGGTAGAGGGCTGTGCTCTCAGTCCACAACCATTTCAGCTGCTCGTTGCGGGCCATCTCCACATCTGGACAGCGACCTGTGTAGTTCTCCAGAGTGCGCCTGTAGTCGTGGTTGTAGCAGTCGGGGAACAGGTAGAACCCCCACAGCTGGTTGGGCCTCAGGTTCTTGGCTTGTTTTAGCGTCTGCAGCATGAAGTTCTTGGCAGACGACTCAAACTCCAGTTGGGCCGCTTTTGCCACCTGTTCTCGAGGCCACATTGGGTTTTTCTGGCTCACCAATGCAAAGGAATGATTACGGTAAACATCTTTAGTTTCCCAGTTCCGTATCCATAGAGGGCGCCACTCCTCCCAGTCAATAACTGCTAAACCCTTGGCCTCTGGTTCACGTATATATTTCTTCACATCGTTCGGCATCTTGCCCAGGTGCTGGGTGAGGCTGGCCAACTGGGGCAGTCCTCCGTTCACTGCTGTTTTATCTGGATTAAGGTAGGGGTATGAGCCCAAGCGGTCCTTGTAGAAAATGGTGAGGTTCTGTTTAACAAAGCCCTCATTGGGTGAGGCCACGATCTGGAACTGGTCCAACTGAAAGTGAATGCCATGCCGAGGGGCACAGTCTTCAGTGGGGGCATTCCAAGCGAGGAGCAAAGGCTTTTGGGAGTACAGTGGCCATGTTGTGGGTTTCGGTCCCAAAGCACTGAGGTGGTCCCACAGCAGAACAGTCAGCAGCAGTACTTTCCAGTCATGCAAAGTCCAGTACGACATGTCTTCAGATGTGGACTGACAGAAAGGTCCGTCACTTTCTGCTCTGCAAGTCACAGAGGAGATTGAAATTTAGTTTTTTGTTTGTTTACTTTTATAAGAGACTATTCCCAGTATATTCATTCATAAAGTTAGTTTCAAAAGTACATTTAAAGTCTGCAGAAATTACAGCAATGTGTTTAGTGTGTTTAATGTATTAGCTGATTATATTTTGTATTAATAATCTGAATCTACATGAATAACACTGTCCAATAAATGTGGTGATCCAACAGTATAGTTCCACCTAAAATGTATGGGAGTAGACATTTATCAAACAATAGATGTACTCAAATAAAGTACCACAAAATTACGCATAAGTACAACATTGAGTAAAGTACTTAAACTACACTTCTCATTACCAGTAATAAGGACCAGTGTAAATTTTGCTCTAAATCCAGAGCTAAAATTGGTCCTCCACTGATAGTCGGTGCTACAAATCCATCTCTGATGATTCATGAACAAAAAAGGAGGTAAAAAACTAGCTAGTCTTCGTCTTTATTTATTTAAAAAACGACTTCCAGTAGGGTTATGTCTGAACTTTAATGCGCTGGGCTTCAATATCCAACCCTTCAATTAAATTATAGCTTGCTATTTGATTCTAACAATGAATGAGAATAACAGCAAAGCAAAAGCTGAGTTAATTCACACCAGTGTCCATGCAGCAGCAGCACAAACCTACCTTTACTGGCAGACAGAGGAAGCATTCCCACATAGCAGAAGCATGCTACTTCATGTCGGGTTTGTGTTTTTCCTCAGAGCAAATGGGAAAAATTCAAAAGGAACACTGCTTTTGGGATACAAAAAAATGACAACGAAGGAATTGTACACAGGCATGCGTGGCCGATAGACAATTTTTTTTTACAAACTCCGCTCTCGGACTTCCTGAAGCCACTGAAGTGAAGAAAAGTGAAGAAAAGTGAAGTTGCCCCCTGCGACGTTGCCAGGCTCAACACCCCCCTGCTCCGAGTTCCAAACACTTTCAGGATGTTCCATTCGGATCGGAAAAAGGGGGGAGGAGTTGCGAAACAAAGCGAACATCCTGAGGCCTCTGTCACCTTAAGTGTAAGCGAAGTTTCTTCACTTCAAATCTATACACAACCTCAGGTATCACTTAAGTCAGATTTAGATTATGTCGCGTTTAAATAAAAAGCAAATACCTCTCGTCCCGGTACAGCGCTGAATGAATCAGTCCAAGAAGTTTGCCACCACAGCCATGAAACAGATACACTATAACCAACAATGTTCAGATTAACAGATGGTCATAGTGCCACTTCCCTTAAATAAGATCATGCCCACATATGTGTTCCGGTGACATTTCTACATTACAATCCACTTATAAATAATATGGCGTGCGAGGAAGTGCTCGGTTTTACTTGCAACATGCAGCAGGGACGTATTTTGCTTCTTAAGACACCTGAAAATTGGCTTCAGATTAGAAATGTTTCTCTACAACATTAGATATTTAAATATTATTAAACACAAAGCTAAAAGTTGTCCGTAGTAGTTGTAAATGAGGCTAATTGACCTTCAGAATCTCTCAGCCAAACCACTGGGATTTAATTATAGTTAAAGTGCATCTGTAACGTGATCTCATTCTCAGCTTCTGATATATATAGGAAGAAATACTGACATTATTATTTATAGCACAGTCACACCCACCAGTAAGGAGGGTGCAGACAAAAAAACAAACATATCTTTAATAAGAAATTACCAATAGGTCACTAACCTTGGCAGAGGTCTGTGTATCATCTGTTCATTCAGTTGTTTTATAAAATGACAAGCAGATAGTATGTTCACATTAGGCCCCATTGCTCACAATTAAAGGAATATTTAATAAATGGGTTCAATACCTTTATACCTGGTCCCAATACACCTTTTGTACAATTTAAAAACTGCGTCAGGAGTTGGCAAAAGTTCATTTACTCAAGTCTGCTGGACTCGAGTGCTTCTGTTTTGTAAGACTATTTCACATCATTTCATTGGGAAATACTGCAATTGTACTTCACATCATTTAAGTAATAACTGCATTCACTATGTAAGTAGCTTTTGGTTCATTTTACAAGGAAAACAAAGCTCAACTTTGACACAGTGTTAGAATATGCACAATTGTTACAGTACAAGCATCACTCAATAAAAGTATCAAGGTACTGTGTGGCAGAAAACTGTTGACACAATCTTTTAATGTTAAGCTGAGTAAGGTAAATCAAATTGTAATGGCTACTTTACACTGCATACTCTTTGTTCTTTTTCCTATAACAATCCACCATCTTTTAGAAGCTGGATTGCTGTGATAGTGAAGTATAAGTAGCATAAAATGAAAATATTCAAGGAAAGGGACTGTGATTTGGAATTAAAGCACAGTACCTTGTTATATTACACCACTGTCTGCAACAATAAATTAATGCTTAGTCTGCATCAGTTAAATTAAATTAATGCATCAGCCTGAGACAAGCTATTCTTCATGAATCAAAGAATGAACTACTTGACATTGCTAGGATTTTAATGTTTTTCTACTAATGCTCTAAGCACACTTCAGATAGTGGGTGCAAGGCATCTGGCATGCAGATGTCACTGCTGCCTGAGGCATGTAATGACAGCCGCTGGCAGTGGCTCCGTGGATTAACCAAGTACCACATGCTGTCATGTTTCCAAATATGGCAGACAGGACAGTGCAGAGCCAGGGTTAGGAACATGGAATAAAGGGTGTCTAGAAGCCCTGCTCTGACTCTGCATTTGCTAGATTTAACAGCCAGTTTTCATGAGAACAGTTGCTTAAAGCATTTCTGTCATTGTTAGTAAAGTGGTAGCTTCTGCCTAGCAGTCCATTAGTCAGTTTTGAAAAATTGTTATTTTCCTTTGCCAATACATGAGAGCTGAAGGATGACTGACCAAATGATCGGGATGAAGTCAGGGCCTGGAAGTGAGATGTTTTCCTGTGTCAGAGTCCATTCAATGGATTGTTTTATGAACTTTGCTGACTCACCTCACCGTGTCATCAGTATCTCTTTCTTTCACTCTGTGCACCCTCTGTCTCTGCTGAGTGCTTAAGGACAGTGTACAGTAGAGCATGAATGACCTGTGTGAATGAAAAGGGAAGGAAAGGAACAAAAGGATTGACTTGGGTTTCCCTGGAGTCTCAGCTTCCCTTTGACCTCTGCCTCTTGCACATTACATCAACACAAGTAAGGGACTGCCAGGAAGCAAAAACAATAGCAGGGAAACTGGGAAACACCGCGCCACTTTCAGTTTACATCCCCAAACATTAAATAAATAGCAATACATTTGGCTAATTGTGTAAATTGGTAAAGTGGAACGGAGGGAATGCCACTGGAACAATAAACTTTGATGTTAACAATTTTACTACCAGATACTACTAACCAAAGCAAAATTTCCAGTTTGTATAAGAATATATGGGCCAAGAAGTGCCCAGATTTACCTTGAGGCTCTGAAAATGCAGACTTAAGTCTCAAATTGAGTGGTATACACATTTCACTGCTGCTGTTTGCACCAATATCTCCTTATGACTCAGTTAAATGCATAGGACTGTCACTTTGTTTTTCAGATTTGTTTCTTTCAGTACTCATTAAATCACATGTACTGTATATGATCACACTATACCACAGTAAAAAGGAGCATAATCCAACTGAACTACAATAGTGTACAGAAAGTACATGTTTTACTTCAGACTACTGCAGTTTAAATTACTCCTGAAAAGACAATCTTTTACTGTTTATATTTCAAATCATGTTTTAGTCTATTGTCAAGGCTCCTGATCATTATAATCACTATCTCTCCCTCCCCCAGCCACATGGACACATTTTCCCTGTACAAACAGTGTATACATTAGGAACCACATTGCATAGATCCAAACTGTGTTAAATTCATAAGGTTCATAAATTTGTATGGCTTTACCAAAAGGACTTCATCCTTCATCCGTTGCAGAACATCAGAGACCAGTAATACATCAAAGTGACTGATCTCTGACCCCAAAACCCACCCAGCCACATTCCACACAATTACAGACAGCAGGGAATGTGCGCAAAGGAAGCCCTACCCATTTATTGTGGGATTTGTCAACCGTACACATTGAAATATGGTTGCATCACCATTCAAGTTTGATGCTGTGCCAGCTGGCAACACCAACTTCAACTGGTCATAACTCGAGTCTTTGTTTTTACCTCAAACACCACATTTAGTTACACTTTCCATCTTTTGGAAGTCTGACTGCACAGGGTTATCATTAGAGGCAAGTGAGTAGACTGATGCAACAAACATCACATCAACTCTTTAAAGCCAGTGTAGATTGCTGCTGCCATCTAGAGGCTGTGAACTTTACATGTTTTTGAAAAATAAATTTTGGTTTTAG